AAGCGGTAGTGTGCTCGCCTGGCATGCGTGTGGCCTGGGTTCAATCCTCAGCACCATTTACAAATAAAAGATGTTGTGTCTGCCGAAAATGAAAAAATAAATATTAAAAAATTCTCTCTCTCCCCCCTCTGTCTCTCTCTCTCTCCCCCTCCCTCTCTCTCTCCCTCTCTCTCCCTCTCTCCTTCTCTCTCCCTCTCTCTTTAAAAAAAAAAAAAAAAAAAGCCAATCTTATTTCCAATCTGCTGCGGGCCTCTACATTGCCATCTCAGTTGGGAATAATCCACCGTAAGGCCCATCAGACTGACTCTTTCCCCACTACAGCGAGTAATTCTAAAGCTGACCAGGCAGCTTGATAAGCCATCCTGCAGGCTCCGGCCTCTTCCACATTGTTCCATCTTTCCCCTGAGGAACGTCCTACTAACTCTCACCAACTCTTTCAGTTCCTTCATTCCCTATTCCACTCCGGCCCACAGAGTCTGTCAACTTTCATTCAATCCTTTTTCCCTCTTTCTTCAGACGACCGAACTCTTCTACAACAAATTACATCCACTTGCCAGATCTGCCAAAGGACCAATACCAACACCCCCTTAAAACCCAAGCCCTTGGGCCTGGGGATGTTGTGGCTCAAGCGGTAGCGCGCTCGCCTGGCATGCCTGCGGCCTGGGTTCCATCCTCAGCACCACATACAAACAAAGATGTTGTGTCTGCCAATAACTAAAAAATAAATGTTAAACAATTCTCTCTCTCTCTCTCTCTCTTTAAAAAAAAAAAAAAAAAACCCAAGCCCTTTCCCTCCCATCAGGCCTGTGGACATACCCCAGGAGCTGATTGGCAAATTGACTTCACCAATATGCCCAAGGTAAAAAACATCAAATACCTCTTAGTGCTGGTGGATACATTCTCAGGGTGGTAGAAGTTTTTCCCGCATCCAATAAGCGGGCTTCTACACTTGTGGACAGATTAATATCTGACATAATTCCCCGTTTTGGAATGCCCACCTCGCTCCAATCAGACAATGGCCCCGAATTTACTTCACACATAACCCAGGAGCTGGCTTGCGCTCTATCACTCCCTTGGCACTTTCATTGCCCACTTTCCCTTTTCAGGGAAAGTCAAAAGAACTAATAAATCCCTCAAAGAAACCCTCACTAAACTCACCATGGAATTAAGCTTAGATTGGACAAGAGTTCTTCCTCTGGTGCTGTTGCGCCTCAGAGCCCTACCAAGGAAGCCATCCAACCTTTCCCCATTTGAGGTCATGTATGGCCACCCACTCCTGCCTCCTGGAATACAGACAGAACAATTGCCTATCCCTGATTCCTACACTCTGTCTCTCCTCTTCCATCTACATTCTGAACTCTGGAAGTATCAGGACTGGCTTTTACTTGATCCAACCCTTACTCGAAACCCCCCCACTCTAATACCTGGCCAACGGGTATACTATTGTCCCCCAGGTGAGAAACCTCAGCTACATCCCAAATGGGAAGGCCCTGCCTCAGTCACCATGTGCACGCCTTTGGCGGCTAAGCTTAAACTCACTAATAACCAATTAATTGGGCTGGGGATGTGGCTCAATCGGTAGCGCTTGCCTGGCATGCATGCGGCCCGGGTTCGATCCTCAGCACCACATACAAAGATGTTGTGTCCGCTGAAAACTAAAAAATAAATATTTAAAAAAATTCTCTCTTTCGCTCTCTCAAAAAAAAAAAATAAATAAATAACCAATTAACCCTGTGGATTCACATTTCCAGGCTTAAACCATGCATCCAGGAGACTGATTCTGGCAACACCCAGCCGGAAGATCTGCAGGAATCCACACCCACATATTCCTGTTCTCCTCACCCTCACAATCCCTTGAAACTTCATCTTTCTTGCGTTCCTGCCCTTGTACCTATACTTGAAAACATATCAGAAGATGCACCTTAATTTTCTGTTTTTCATCCTTACCCTTACCCCAGGGGTAATGCCTTCACCCTCATATGTCTGGAGATTCAAAGTAAGGGAGACATATACCCAAAAGAACACCAAGATTACCCGCTTAACTGCTACCTCTGACTGCCCCCTACGAGGGTGCTCCTCAGCCATTTATATTGTGTTCTCTTCATCCTTTGAGCTTATTAAACAAGCCAGCCGCCCTTACTTATGTTTTTTATATGACCAAAATAAGGATCACTGAAATGGTGGCCGGAAACCTACAGAGGCTGCCCCTATTGGTCATGCAGAATTCATGATGCATATTCAGGACAATTAAATATAGGAAGATTCAAATTTGAGTCTGCCTCCCACCAGTACAATCTGACCATCCCAGACCCTTGGGACCCACGCTGGGCATCAGGGGTAAAAGCTTCCTTTTATTGCAATGGGTATGCTTCCACCCCTTGCGGTTCCTTGTCTATTTCTCGAGAGTATGTTTCTGTGGGGTCCCCAGTCTCTCTTGTCTCAACCAACATAAAACACTCAGAACAGCGGTTGCTCGCATCCTTAGAAAACCAACATGCTTCTTCTGACTCTCAGGCTTCACCAATCTATACCTGATTACAAATCATTACCGACACCCTGTCCTATCTAAACCAAACTTTCCCTGATACAAGTCCTGCAAATTGCTTCTTGTGCGCTTCTCTAGCACAGCCTTTACTTGCTGCAGTCCCAGTAAATGTTTCCAGCTTGCCCACCTCATCCCACAAAGGAGATCCTTTCAAACCTCTACAAAATATCCCCTTATGGGAGCCCGAGGAGGGTAACCACACTACGATTCCTCGTGCTTTCCTTCTGGGATCCACAACCCCCAACTCCCTGCTGGATGGCTTTTGTCACCATAATCTAACAATCAATAACACCACCTATTCCCCATCTGGTCTCTTCTTCTGGTGCAATGGAACTCTTACCACCATTATGTTTCCCAATATGTCCAGTCCATGTCTTCTGGTTACTATAGTCCCACAGCTCACTCTCCATAGTAGTTCTGAAGTATAATTCATCCTTAATCCTCCAAGACACATAAGACGGGCTGCATTCCTTCCGGTAGTGGTGGGTATCTCATTAACAGCCTCAGCAGCAAGTGCAGGCTTATCAGGAGGAGCCTTAGGTCATTCTCTATGGGCTGTCAAGGACATTAATTCGAGCACTCATTTCAACAGCAGAATCTCTAGCCTCCCTGCAGAAACAGGTCACCTCATTGGCCCAAGTCACCCTCCAGAATGGCAGAGCCCTACATTTACTGACTGCCGAAAAAGGCAGAACCTGTCTTTTCCTCAGGGAAGAATGCTGTTATTACATAAATGAATCAGGGCTTATGGAAAGCAATATTAAGCTCACTAACCTAGCAGCCACCCTAAGGACCCCAGTAAACCAAAACCTTTTCTCTTCCTTAATGGCCACTCCTCTTCTTATATGAGTATGGCCTATCCTTGGACCACTATGTGTAATTCTTCTGATGTGTCTGTTTCTACCATATATTGTAAAGTTTATTCAGACTCAAGTAGGTAAAATCTCTAACCAAACTTTTGACCAGCTTCTGTAGAAATTATCAGCTCCTGGCCACTGATGAACCAGCCACCTCTTCCAGGGAACATCCCACCCAATGTTGAAAGACTCATCACAAACTCCTGGGACACCTTTTTAAGAGCAATATCCGATGATGCCTGACTTGTGCTCCCCCATGGAGACTTACATTGACTGGATCAAGATGATAATGGATCTTTGGCTGCAGGGGACTTTCTGTGACATCCCACCCAACCTTATACCAATTCTTGCTGCCCTCCTATGGGGGCTCCTGACTTCCCTCCTTCAGACTCCTTCCCCGGCAATGCCCCCGCTCAGCAGGAAGTAGTCAGAATGAATAGGCATCCCTTTCCATGTAATAACAAAGAGGGGGGAATGTTGGGAGGCCCCTAAGAGTTCCCCAGGCTCTTAACATGGCGGCAGGCACATTGCCAAAGGGCGGGCAATGGGCAGGCAGTAGGTTGTTTTGAAAATTCCCCAGTTGGTCTGCCCTTCTTCCGCACTCAGCTCCTGCTCCACATGGACCCCATGCTGAGTGAATACACATGTACCATATGTGTTGACCTGACCTTTATTTGATTGGCCTCAGGGGCTTCCTGCTTTGAGACAACTGGCTTTCATTTTCTATATAAGCCAGTACCAACCTACATTAAATGCACCTTTGCCACAACTGTCCGTGTGTATGTGTCACTCTCCGACGGCAAACCTTGGCTTTTCAATTTTCATATGCTGTTGGTACTCTAAAGGAGTCACTTGTCCTTGAAGAAAATGGAAACTTAAAAAACCCTCAGGGAAAAAGGGAACCAAGGACTCTGACCATTGGCAATTTCCCCTGCCCGCCAAAAGTAACTGACAAACTCCCATGATGTGGCCCTGCAACTCACTCTTGTCATAGCCAGTCACCATTTATTCTTGAAAACATGCTCCTTGGCTGCTTAATAAAGCATTGATGATCCTTTATTGAAGTCTGTTTCTTTTTGTTTTTGTATTCTCTTTCATATTTCAGTCCTCAAGCAATCTGGAAAGGGGAGAGGCTTGAATATGGGAATTCCTTACTAAAGACTTGGCATCTCTTTGAAGTGCCTTCACTTTTATTTGTTATCCAAAAAAAGATTTTTTTTTTTATATCTTTGCCCCAGGTTAGGTCTGGAAGCTCTCCTTAGATAACAGGTCATTAGGCACCGCATTGTTTTTTTTTTTTTTTTGTAGACAAACAAACAACTTTATTGGTGCTGAGGATCAAACCCAGTGCCTCATGCATGCTAGGCTAGGCCAGTGCTCTACCGACTGAGCTATTACGGCAGCCCACCCCTTTTTTGATTAATGAGTCTTATGGAGGAAAGTTGACACTGATCACCCAGCTTTTAGAGTGCTCCCTGAAGAGCATTGAGCTTTGAAGCAGACATGGATTGTAGGGAACTTAACCTACTTAGTACAGATGTCTGGGCCTTACTATAGAATCTGTCTAGAAGTCAATGTCTTTGAACAGATGTGACAAATTCCAGAAAAACACATCTTTATTTACTAGGACTGGAAAAAAGACAGGCTCACAATCAAAAGACAGGTTTGATAACTTCATGTAAGATGGAGAGAGCTTGGCAACCACAGGCTTTAGTTGTGAGCAGGTGCCCTGACCTGCTAAGTTGGTACCCTGGTCAGTAGGTTAGGGCTGTTGGTCCTAATTTCCTGACACTACTGTGATTTCCCATATGCTGTTCCCTGTATTAAAAATCACAGCTTTGGTGTCCTCCAGGGTCACATGAGAGGATCCATTTGGTGAACCAGAGATTCCTAGCTGGGAGTGGGTGGCTCTGGACCTTAGCGCACACAAATACAGGATGTTGTTATCAGTGAAGCCCTCTGTCCCAAGTATGGGGATTCCTGCCTAAACAGCGTCTGGCTGAAGGCATGAATTTTCTAAGGTCAGTTGCTGTAATGTATATGCTGGCCTGTGGCACACTGGGAGTGCCCGGCAGGGGGCAGCAAAGCCCTTCATTCTTGTCAGTACACTTGCTGGGCGCCCCCTCCTGGGCTCAAGACCTTTGTTTTTCTGTGATGGCTTTGAAGCCTGCATGTTGGGACTGAATATTAATGACTACAGCTTAAACAAGGAAGGGGTGAGGCTTGCATGGGAGTCCTGGAAATGGACACCACTGGGATGGCCACTGTGTGAAGTCAAAAGGGCCTGAAAATCCTCTGTCCAGCCTTCCAGGTCTGTGCTGCTTCCTCCAGAGTGGAATTGAGCTCAGCTAGGTTCAGGATCGGCAGCAGGAAGACCCTTGACCCTCATTTTTAACATACTCGTGCAGCCGGAAGCGGGGCTCGCTGGAAGCCTTCGTGGAGCGCTGTTTCAGCTCCCTGCAGAACAGTGGTGACATGGAACAAAGTGGCCTCTTTCACCCCCGGCAAGGGGATTCACACCTTGGGTTTGGGGGTTCTTTGTTCACTGCCAGGACTTACTTTGCTATGGCTGTGAAGGCCAAGTCCACATTGAGGCCTGACTTGGCACTGGTCTCCATGAAGGGCAACCCATATTCCTGCAAACAACTGCTGCCAGCTGGGTGGTGGCCTGGTGGGGACAACCCAGGCTCCCCAGCTTCGGGGTACCCTCATTGCCCACCCTGCCCTGACTCACCTTGGCCAGCTTCTCCCCATCCTCCCTTTTCACCACACGTTCATGAGCAGAGTCCACCTGGCCCAGGCACAGGGTTTTGGGTGATAGGGCCCATGGCTTGGCCACCCTCCCCCATCACCTGCCTTGCCTTATAGGCTGTAGAGGGCAGGCTGCCCACCTTGTTCCCCAGCAGCATGAGCACCACGTTGTGCTGGGCATACTCCTGGATCTCTGTCAGCCAAGCCTGTGGGGAGAGCTGGGGGCTGGTGCTCCTTGCACACCTTACCCTTTTGGAAACTTGGCCCCTCCAGGCCACACCTTGTAGATTGCCCGTTTCCAAAAAGCTCCCATTCGTTGGGCAGAGGTGCCCACCTTACAAGTGCCTTATCCAGGGAGTCCTGCTGACAGAGCTGAATGTCACCCAAGCCCATTTTAGCTCATACTCAACCTGGGCTACCTTGAGCCCTGGAGAGGCTTGTCACTTCCCCTCCCTGTTAGGGTCCTCAAAATTCTAGGGGATTCCATGGCATGGCCCATGCCTCCCACCAGGAAGAGGCCACTGACCTGGATGTTGTCAAAGGAGGCCTTGTTGGTGACATCATAGAGTAGCAGTAGTGCTGGAGACAAATGACAGTGAGGAAATCCCTGGAGCCCAGTGGCTCCCTGTTCCCAAGTCACCACAGGTAAGAGCATCACACCCTGAACTGCTGTCCCACTGGCCCTCTTACACCCTCTGAGCTGGTCACCTATAGACCACATCCCAATTCCCAGGAGGTTGGTCCCTGTTCCACAGACTCACCATGAGCGTCTCGGTAGTAGGCATGAGTGACACTGCGGAACCGTTCCTGGCCAGCTGTGTCCCAGATCTGTGTCAACAGGTACTGGTCATGCTGTCTAGCTCCTTCCTGGTATCCCTTCACCCAACTTGCCCCTCCCTGGTCAACTTACCTGCAGCTTCACCTTCACTCCATCCACGTCCAAAACTTTGTTCTGAAACAGAACCAGCCCAGTGCCACTCTCTGGCCTGGGGCTTCTTAGGGTGAGGTGCCAGGGGGTGGGGGTGGGGGTGGGAGTGGGGGTGGGGGTGGGCAGTGCAAGCCAAGGCTGAGCCCAGGTTCACTATTGGGGAGGATAAAGTTCCCCTGTCCTGCCCCTTGCTAAGTCCTTAAGTCATTCTTGAGCCTTGCCCACCCCCACACCATCTCCTGATACTTTTCCTAAAGGCCATGTTTAGGTCCATGTGCTTCCTGCCTCCTCCTGGCAGAGCCCCCCACCTCCTGTTCAGATGGCTGCCCTGATGAGCTTGCTGGTTGCCACCATCCATGGCCAGCTGTGTCCAATTTTAGGTCAAGTTTCTCTTTGCCTACCACCTCCACTGCCCTGGAAGGCCCCTGCCTCAGCCCCAAGAGGGATCCCATTGTTCCCTCTTCCCCTCTCATAGCCCATCCTTAGCTGCCACCCTCCTGAGGTCTGCATAGATTTCCCTGAACCATTTGCAAATGCAGCCTGTCCACTGCTCTCTGAAGAGTGCTCTGGACACCCTGCTTTTGCTTAGAGCCACTCATACTGATGTATCTGAAGTCATCTGTGGTGTGATCCCAAGCCTGTTATTGTGCCTCAGTTTTCCTATCTGCGGATGGAGATAGGCAGGGTGCCTGTCTCATAGTTGCTCCTATAACTTAATGAGCTGTTCTATATGTGCACTGAGAACCATGTTCAGCCCAGATAAAGAATTAGTTTTGTTTGTTTTTAAGCCTCTCCCAACTGGGCATGATCTTGTAATCAGATACTCAGAAGACTGAGGCAGGAGGATTGAAAGTTCTAATCCAAACTGGGCAGCTCAATGAGACCCTGTGTGTGCAAGTGAGTACTAAGGATTAAACCCAGGAGTGCTCTACCATTGGGCTACATCCTCAACCCTATTTTATTTTGAGACAGGGTCTCACTGAGTTGCCTCAAACTTTTGATCCTCCTGTCTCAGCCTTTGAGTTGATGGGATTATAGGTATGTGCCACAATACCTGGCTTCAAAATAAAACTTAAAAAGGGCTGGTATTGGTGATACAGCTCAGTGGTGGGTTGAATCCCTAGTACTGAAAAAGGAAAAAAAAAATTTTTTTTCCACGCTGGGACTCTAGCTCTTCCTGTTTGGCCCAATGCTGTAACCACAGAGCCCAGAACTGTGTCTGGTATACAGTAGGTACCAGTGTGTGTATGGCTGTCAGTGCTCCCCAGCTGGGCCTTCCCAGTTCAGGACATGAGGATACAAGTGGCCCCACCCCAGGCCAAGAAGAGGGCTAACCACAAGCTGAGTCCCTGGGTAGCTGGAACTAGTACCACTTCCTCCCTGCTGTCAGGGTGCTTCTGGGTCTCCGGGGAACCAGGCTTGGCCATCTGCTGTGCTGAGGAGAATACCTAGCCTTCCCTGGCACCCTGAACAGGGACACCAACCAAATGGCCTCACTTCCCTCACTGCCTCAGAGGCAAGAGTGGAGGGGGAGGGAGGCCAGGATGGGCAAAGGACCACCTGCCCACAGCAGTGTCTACCCCTTTTAGCACCTCAGCCCTTCACTCCCACACAATCTGGGTAGAACACAACTCTCCACACTAGAGGAAGCCCCCTTTCCTGCCCCCATAATGGGCCTCCCTCTCAGCCTCTTGCTAAGTAGGTCTAATTAAAGGGTGAGAAAAATGCAAATTCAGGATTTGTCAAGAACAAGCCAGCACCTCAGCACGTGGGATTCTGACTGGTGGGCAGAGGTGGGGGCTGTAATGCTGGAACCCACAGATCCCTGCTTGGGATGTTGGAAGATTCTCATACCCAAAGGCAGGAGCTTCTCCCCTAAACAAGCCCTGTGAACACTTCCCAGGCTGCACCACAGTCACCTAACTTGCAGGGCCTGGGCAAGTGCCCAGCACCTCTCATATCCTTGGGCACCCTCATGTACAGTGGGGCGGCAACACTGACTCCTGAGGGACATGGATCAAGTTCCTTCCCACTGCTGCCACCATGGGGCACAGGATATGGCACCAGGGCAGTGTCAGCCTCTGGCACAGGGGAACTGTCTCTGCTTCAATTGGTTGCAAACACTTCTTCAGGCATTGGATGCTTGGTGGCTAAGGCATCTTGGTCACAACCATCCTCACTGGGAATGCCACCTCCTAAGCCCCTGGATAGCATGGAGAAGGCAGAACCAACTGCCTGCTGGTTCTGGGAGAACTCAGCTGATGTGGGGGAACCAGGGCTGTCACTGGGATCCTGGGTTCCTTAGAGGCCTGCCCTCCCAGTTGGCAAAGCATCAGTCACCACTCACCCGGAAGTCTATGCCCACAGTGGAGATGAAGGTGCCTGCCAGGAAAGCACCATCCTTGAAGCGTACAAGCAGACAGGTCTTCCCCACGCCTGAGTCTCCCACCAGCATAACCTACAGCAGGCAGGAGGGTCCAACGTGTCAGGCCTTGGGGGAGGCATGCCGGTCCACCCAGAGGGGACTTCTGGTCTGCTCTGAGCTGACCTGGCCAGAGAGGGGTTGCAGTGAGGGAGAGGAAAGGAGAGGGGTATTCTAGGCTTGCAGGTTCAGCATGGGCTGGGGAGAGGCAGCAGCTATGGTCCCCATTGGCCTGGCCTGGACCTCCAGCTTCTGCCTCTGGTGGTAGTTTCAGTCCCCTCTCTCCCTCTGAATAGTGCCCATCTCAGTCAGTGGCAGTGTGAAGACAGTATTCCATTCAGAATCCTACCCACCCTTCCACCATGGGCACCATACTTGATCTGAGAGGGAGCAAGAGCCTGGGTGGTGGCAGCTGGACCTTCTGAGAGATCTGTGGGGACTCAGAGGCAGGGCTTCTAACCCCAACAAGGACAGGAATCCCAGCAGCAAGGCTCAAGAGGGATTTGCCAAACCAAGATTAGATCCTGAACTGAGGAGGGTCCTGGGCCAGGTCTGTGGATAGGGAGAAGAATCAGGCCCTCTCCCTCCCCCACCCAGCCTGCTGCCAAATGCTCCAAAACCCAAAGATGGTCCTACCCGTTTTGGTGGGGCCTACCTCCACCAAATTTTATGCACCTTCTGCCTTGGTTTGGGGGAGGCCTCAGTCTCCCCACCCAGCTGGCAAAGGTCTTCCTAATCTCCTCCCTTCCAGAAAAAGGAGACCCGAGTCACTGGGGGTGAGGGAAGGCAGCATATGGGAAATGAAACTGAACCCAGGTGGGGGCTCGGATTGGGGAGGGGCACCTGAAGGGCTCTCTTCACCTAGCGGGCTGGGCAGGCCCTGCCAGCTGCTCAGAACCCCAAACCCTGGCCTGACAGATGTGTGCGTGCGCGATGCTCAGGGCTGCTGTGCCAACTGGGGGGTGCCACTCACCCAGCTCAGCTGGGAGGATCTGCGGGACCTTGCACCCCCAACCCTGGACCCCTCCCTGCTTGGCTGTGATCCGAGGCCACCTGCTGCACTCGCTTGGGGGAGGGTGTCTAGCTCACCTTGAAGGCGACGTCGTAGAAGTCGCCACCGCCGCCAAGCGAGGGCCGACCGAACTGCGGGGGCCCGTTGGGCGGCGCCTGGGGGCCAGGGTGCGTAGTCCCGGGACGCACCGGTCGGGGCCCGTTGGCAGCAGGCAGAGCGGAGGCAGCAGGCACGCTGCCCCCCTTGCACTTGGGGGTCTTCTTCCTGGACATGACAGGCGACCGTTCAGTGCGCTCCCGCAGTGGCCGCCACGACCGGGGCGGTCCCGCTCCCCACACCGGCTGAGTCCGACCCAGACCCGAACCCGTCCCGCGGCGGCAGCGGCGGTGGCGGTGGCGGCATCATCCCAGGCGCCTGTCGCCCGCCCCGCCCCCGCCGTCCCACAGGCCTCGCAGCCACTCAGGCCCGGCCTCCCGCTGCTGCCGCCAATGGCCTGCTGGGGCGGGGCCATGCAAATGAGACCACCGCTCCAGGGGCGGGGTCAAGAGACCCTGACACAACCCTAGGCGTGAGCTGCCGGTGAGCCCCTGCTGGGTCCTGCACCTCAGACCCAGAGACCCAACTTCGCCGGCGCCTTGGTATCTGGATGCTGATGTGGAGCCCAGGTGAGGGAGCACAGGGATCCTATGTCCCCGCTGTGCGCTATTCGCCATTCCATCCTCAACTGCTCCAGCCCAGTGACCTACTCACTGGACCTGTCTTAGGTCCTGGGACTAGGGAGGAGTCCTGAAAGGAAGGTGCTGGGGGCAGAGGGTTGACACCCTGGGATTCTGTCCTTTCTCAGCCATAGATGCCTGCCACCTGGCCCGTTGCTCCTCCTTGCTCTGTCCCCTCCAGGGCAGGCGGGTCCAGGAAGCTCCAACACTCAAGCTTAGCAAACAAACCTGGCTGTACCGGAGCACTCAGGGCTCAGCTGACAGCTGGTTATCAGAGGCAGGACATAGTGCGCACAGCTGAGTTGGCACTGTGCCACAACCTTTGCCTCCTGGGCTGAATCCTGGTAATCTGGTCCGGGGAAGTCTTTGTCACACCAGCAGAAAGCCCTTTGAGGGTCCCTCCCAAGGGGATCTGCCTTTGAGTCTGGGAGGAGGGAGGCCCCTCCCCCAGGTGTGGCTGGCCCCTTGGCCTTCCCATTCAAGGTTCTGGCCCAAAGGAGACCAGTGCTGATTCTCCAAACCCCAAGCTGGGCCCTGGCACACCCATCTCAAGGGCCTGACACCTTCTTCCCACTTAAGCTGACTGGAGCTCTGTCTCAGGATTCCCACCATGGTGTTCTGGCCTCAAGAATGAGTCTTAGGCAGTCAAAGCTGGAGGGAGGGTGATAGTGGGTGCAGAGGTCCCCCTGAGATGAGGTGCTTATTAGTACTCCTCTGAAAGCTGGAGGTATTCCTGGCTGTGACCCAAGGCATGGCAGCTGTCACTGGGATCCCAGGTCCTTTAGAGGCCTGAGCCCTCCTAGTTGGCAGTGCCCAGAGCACAAATAATGAGCTGCTTCTGGGAGCTGGAACTCAGAGGTCTGGCAAGATACAGATGGCGGGATGCTCTCCAGCAGCAATTCCTTGAGAAGGCCTAGTAATGACCTGTTCAACAGAGGCCTGGAAAGCAGCCCAGCACTGAGTGCTATCATGTATGTGCCAGGTATGTGACATCTTCAAAACTGTATGTGAGATGGGAGCTGCTATGGTCCCCAAGGTACAAATGGGGAAACCAAGGCCCAGAAAAGCAAGGGGAGCTGTCCAAAGTCACCTAGAAAGTAACAGAACCAGGATTTGCTATTAGGAACTCTGACTCCAGAGAGTATAAAAAAATCCCACAACAGAGTTGGCCTAGATTCACCCCTCAGGGACCTTTCAGCTGGGGAGCAAACCCAGAGAAGCACTATTAGAGGTCCCCAGGTCTCCTTTCCTTGTCTCCCTCTTCTGCCCCCCCACCCTCCAATGCCCAGAGTTCTACGAAGTGGGCCTAGAGTGAAAGTATTGGACTCCAGGTGTCCCACCCCTAAAAGACCAACTTCAGGATGATTGGCCTAGGATCTCAGCTGGGGACTTCAACAGCCAAAGCCCACTGGCCTCAGCGTTTTAGGTGGTGCATCCTAACTCTTCCTTCCAGCTACTACCCAGAGCATGCCCAGGGCATGGGAACCACAGGAGTTTGGATGCTCTGGGAGCGGGCCTGCAAGTAGGGCATCCGGGGGTGGAACAGTGCTGACGGGGCGGGCACCTGCGGAGAGGGAAGGAGGCAGGCAAGCCAGAGAAAGTGGGAGGCCAGCAGAGGAAGGGAGCTTTAAGCAGGAGAGGAAATCAGGAGAGTTTATGTAAAAATCTAAGTTGCTGGTTTGTCTTGAGAGATGGGAGCTCTAGGTACCTGCATCAGAGTCCCACTCTCATGCCTCTCAGCACTCCTTCTAATCTTTGATCATTATGTCTCTTGACTCTTCTGTTTGCCATCTGTTTTCCTTTCTGGAATGTAAGCTCTCTGGGCATAGGAAACAGCCTGTCTTGGTCACTGCCATATCTCTGGCAGCTGGCTCTTCGTTTCAATAAGTAGTTATTAAACTGGTAAAATAAATGTGAATTAGAAACAGGGGTCTAACTTCAGGAGGACATCTCATTGCTAACATCTCAGTTCTCCTGCCTAAGAACTTAAGGCAGGCTGTGTATCAGTGTGCAATGAGAGAAAGACCGGTGTGATCATGTAGTAAGAGCAAGGCTTTGAGGAGAGGGAATTTGCACTGGCTTTTGAAGGTGGAGCAGATATCAAGTGGAGAGAGGACAGATTAAACTTACCAGGAGGAGGGAGTGCATATGCTCAGGTTGAATGCCAGTAGATGGACATTGGTAAGGTAAGAGAGGCCAGATTGTAAGCGAAATTTTAAAGTTATGCCTAGGAGCTTGGAAATTGTTCAAAGGGAAGTAGAGAGCCATGCATAGTTCTTGAGCACAGCAACAGAGACAGAACACTCTGCTACAGGAATGGGGAGAGTGGCAGAGGGGATGGATGGTGGAGCCTGCAGGCAGGAAGATGGTTTTGAGGAGGATTGCAGTGGCCCAAGGGAGAGGTGCTAGGGCAGAGAGGACTCCAGGAGATATAGGTCTGCATGTCTGGAGGTGAGAAAGGATGACAGAGTCCATGAGGTAGAGACAGCCTGCTGGGGTCAATTAGAGATGACAGTTCCTTTGGTATTTCACAATGAGGGAGAGGGTCTAAGTCCCTTGCCCTAAAACCTGGGCAAGAGTTGTGACTGCTTTGCCCAATAGACATAGCAGAATGACTCTGGACCCAAAGCTTCTTCTCTCCTGGAATATCCATTTTGTGAACCTGGATGCCCTGCTGGGAGAAAGCCCAATTAACTCGGCTGAGAAACCCAGTGAAAAGGGACTCATTTGCTCATTGTGTAAATGAAGAAGCCAGCTTGGTGGTAGATGCCCCAACCTCAGAGGACATCATACAGAGAAGAGATGAGTCTTCCCATCCTGCAGATTATTGGAGGGATATTTTTTATGCAGCAACAAATAACTAGAGCAAGCCAGGAGCAGTGATGCACACCTGTAATTCCAGCAGCTTGGGAGGCTGAGGCAGGATTGCAAATTGGAGGCCAGCCTCAGCAACTTAGTAAGACCCTGTTTCAAAATAAAAAGGTCTGGGGTTTAGCTCAATGATAAAGAGTCCCTGGGTTCAATCCCCAGTGCCAAAAATAAATACATAAATAATTAGAGTAGACTGCCATCACAAGTAAGAGAAGGGGCCATCTTCATGGGAAAGGTAGGGAGGGTGGGGTGGCCTTGGCCAGACCTGGAGAAGTCCAGATCCCCAGGATCTTCAGAAGTGGAGAGAAGAGCCCTGCAGGCCAGGATGAGCCCCTGAGGCAGGGTCTGGAGCTGAGCTACAGGGGGGAAGTGAGGACCATGTGTCCCTGGAAAGGGTATCAACATCCACCTTTCCCATGTCCATGTTCTAACTTCCTGAGGCCTCACTCCTGGATCCTCACTCCTGCCACCCTGATAACTCAGACTCCTAGTCACCTCATAATGACTGCCAGCTCCCACACTGTGCCCTCTGACTTGTCTTTCTGTGTGTCTGAGCACCTTGTCCTAGAATAACAAGTGTCATGAATCGCCATCCATGACAACCTCCTGGGACTCCTGGTCTGGGTCCAGGCAATTTTTCTTAGTGGCCCCATTTTCCAAGCCCTCCAGCTTCACCCCTGCTTTCCGCCTACCCACAGAGCTAGGTCCTCTGGCTGACCCTTGTGCTGGGAGAAGAGGCACCAGCAGGAATGAGCATCTCCTTGACTTTCCAGGCTCTGCTGGGGGCTGTTCTTCCCTGGCTCCTTCTGCCTGTACTTCTTGCTCCCCAGATGCTCTGCAGTGGTTCCCTGGGGGCTGCACTGCCTCTGCACTTAACCTGTGAGTTTCCTGAGAATAGACACCTTACTGCCTGTTCCTACCCCTCCCCAGGTACTAAAGGGACAGCTCTCTGACTGAGCAGCAGACAGACTGAACTTCAGAGTCCTGTAGCAAGCAGGAATAGTAGCATAGTCCCCAAACCTTGTTCCCCTAGAGCACTTCCCCAAAAGACAGTCCTGTGGAACAGTACCCGAAGAGCAGCCCCCCCACCCCCCGCACCTGGGCCCCTGGCTTGCTGTGTGACCTTGGCACGTGGTATCCTCCCTCTGAGCCTGCTCCCCATTCTGTGAAGTGTGGGGGCAGGCAAAGCTGATCTCAGAAGGCCCTTCTAGCTCAAGCACCTTATGTTCTATGACATCCGTGTGAATGTTGCTATGGAGACGTCACTGGCACTGCAACAGCATGAATGTGACTTCCACTTGAGAGAGAGAGAGGACTGAGTCACTCCAGAAAGAAGATGATGTCAGAGGTATGCTGGTCCCAGAGGCATGCAGGGGCCACACAAGTGTCATGCTCCTAGAAGGACACCTCCCTGCATCTGCCCACTCACCTTGGTGGCTCTGATGCCCTGTGGGCAAATGGTAACAGGTAGGTGTCCATCCTTCCAAGTGATGCCAAAGCAGAGAGCCATTCCCTCACAGACATGGCCACATGCAGAAGCCCTGTTCACCCCCTGCAGGTTGTGGTGGCCAGGGGCTGGGTCTCAGCAGTACTGGCTGCCATCTCCTGGCAGGATCCTCTTGTCTGTTGCAGGAGGCCGAGTGTGGGGCTCATCGTTCCAGGCTCTCACAACCTCTGAAGGACTTATTTGGCCTCATAGCAGGTATAGATGTTGGCTTAAAACAGATCCCTGTATAATCATAAGAGTCACTGATTGCTGCTGCTCTGGACTGGGCCAACTGCTTCATTTGTGTTTATTCTTCTTTCTTAATTATAAAATCAATTTATGATTTGTGAG